TTTTATAATTTTATAGGAGTATGGCAATAATGCAAATATTAAATTTTTTTTTTTTTGATTAACCCACCCACCCAACCATAACCGCCGAAGCAATAGACTACCCGGCCCTAGGCGCCAACACATCCGAATACGCCGCCTCAGTAACAACCGGAACAGCAGCAGTCATCAAACGGCTTTCTACATTCAACGCCCTGTGTCCAGAGACAATACTCATCCTCCATGGGTTCAGCCAGGGAGGGCAGATCATAGATGATGCGCTTTGCGGGGTGCCTCATGATTTTACTGGACGAGGAAAACCTGATGAAGATGGGGGACGGGTTGGGAGGCCTTTGGTCAGGAGGGAGGTGCAGAGGAATATTGCGGCGGTGGTGTTGATGGGGAGTCCGAGGTTTACTGGTGGGAAAAGGAGGGGGGAGAAGGGGACGGCGAAGGTGGGAGGATTTGCTGCCCGACCGGAGGGGTTCAGCTGTCCGGTGTTTGATGATAGGATGGTGAGTTTTTGTGATGAGGGGGATCCGTTTTGTTCGGATGGGGAGGATGAGGAGGTTCATGGGGGGTATGGGGAAGTTTATGGGGGGGAGGCGTTGGGGTTTGTGGTTGAGAGGGTGCTGGTTGGGTGAACTTGGATAGAGTTGATATGGGCTTTTTATTTTCTTATTTTTATTTTATTTTTATATATATATTTTTTTCGACTGACTGGCGCTGGTTATGGGCCGCGAATATGTCTGGATGATGGGAACTGGCTATCTGAAGCATAGTAGTAATTGGGATCTAAATCTTGGTTCGAGTTGTGATCTACTCGGAAAAGAAGTGTAATGCCGTCGCTGGATGAACTGTATGTATCTCGGATGAATGACTCGAGTTGCTCAATGTCCCGGTGCTCATTGGGTTGAATAGGATTGTGCTTAAACCTATCAAACGGTGATATCAGCATGAGATGAACCCAATGGATGATGCACTGCAAACCGATATGAGTGAGTCTCAACCAGAGCCATCCTTGTTCCATAGTCCCCGCCACAAACTCCCACCAGATGATCCTGACTCGGCCTCAAGATCCGATATCAACGCCGTTGAGCGTTGCTTTTCACAGCCACTCTCAGAAATTATCATGATATGGTTTGTATGAATACCCCCAGATATTTAGAATTAAATTGATGCTATCGGTTGCAAGCGAGTCCCACGACAACAACCATGCAACGTTCGATTCTCAAAATCCGCTGGAACCTTGATAAACATGGGTCAAGGACCAGGGAAAGAAACGGTTGCTTGGCATTCGTGGGCATCTGCCCCACACAGAGATGAGTAAGCGAGCAAAGGGAACCACAGTTTCTGCGCAACAACACCTCACCACGGCACAATGATCGCAACTTCTATTCGTATTCACCGCCTGTCTGTCATGGCTGACGACGACTTGCGAGAGTCTGAGCGGGCCAGACAAAAGAGGGCAGCCCCATTGTCAAACAATTGCCAACTCGTGGTTCGGTGGCAGACCAGGCCTGAACCAATCACGAAGCCTCCCGGCACGGGCACACCATCTCAACCACAACCAGCCAAGGGGGTGGCCCGCCGCCCGCTCGGGAGGCGCTTTGCTTTTTCTTCACCTCGAGCAAGACATCAACAATGCACATCCCAACCACCTCACTCGAGCAGGCCAGCATGTGGCTTCCCTGCCTGCTTCCGAGGAAGAGATCTTCGCCATTCATGTCAAAAGATAGCAAAGATAGTGGCGACCAAGGTGCCTGTATACCAAGCATCGCCGGCAAGGAGCCAAAAAAGGCCAGGCATCGGTCCCGTCACACGGCTTTCCGCCCACACGCCGCATCTCGTCCTGCCCGAAAGCATCCCACCCTGCTCGATGCTCGCCGCCGACACACACACCACCTTTTCCACAACACCGGCCGAAGACTCGCCGTCATGATTGGCCAATGCTTGGTCAATATGCATCATGTAGAGCGGTACCTTGAATGTTGCCCGTTTACAGCGTAAATCACAGCGCTGGGTGGCTTGCCTTGTCCGTCCTGAGAAAGGATTGCCGCAGCAAATCACAGCTCTCCAAGCCAACCTCTCTCGCTTCCAGGAACACACTCTCTCTCAAGAGAGAAGAGCGGTGACCAGCAAACGTCCGAAACGATGTCTTTTAGAGCTTTTCCATGCCAAGCAACGCGGCCTCTTCTTGTTTCCGTCTTGTCGTTGCTTGATCCTTCCAGAAGTCTTGCATAGGCCAAAAGCTTATCATTGGATGACAACCATTTAGGTAAGCAGGATTGAGAAAAGCTCCGAGACAAAAGAGCCTCGTTTTCGAGAGGGGAAAAAGCCGGGTTGATCTGCAAGCAAGTTGTCTGGTTTTGCGTCAAGGTGTGCGTGTCTCATATGAAAAGAGAAGGTGAGAAAGAAGGAATCTTTGTCCGGACGAACTCTCCTCTCTTTCTGAATGAAAAGGCCCGTCATCCAAAAAAAAAAATTCAGATGGCGTAACCCGCATGGACACTGAAAACATTTGGATCATAGTGTATGCCCAACTCACTCACATGCAGATGGTCAAAAACCCAAAGTTGAGCTTGGGACGAGCGGGTAACCGCTCGTCCGGCCGCTTTTACCAGCCTCCTGTGACAAGTTGACAGTGACAGATAGCTGTACTAGAGAAGTCAATGACGGTTGAGCTGACGTCTAGAGGCATATTCGAGCTTGTCACTCAAAGCCCTCTTCACAAGCCAGCCTTTACCAATCCTCTAGGTCATTGGGCACACAGACTCTTTCGATTTTCAGGGTCCAACTGCAGCACCCGAACTCCTTGCTTCCATACTGACGTACGCACTTTACACTGAACTTGGTTTTTCTCTCTCTCTCTCTCTCACTCTCTCTCTCTTTGGATCAAATCACGGACATTCTCTTTGCTGACAGTGCCTTACATGAAAGCATATGTTTCTGTAAGGTAGAGTTTCAGATCCCGCTGTGCAACCATGTCCCCCCCACTCTTTACCAACCTGTTTTGAGAGCTTGCAGCATACTCTATTCATACAGAGCCAGATTCAATTTGTTGTGAAGACGGCTGGGCTGTGTGTGGAGAGTTGTCGTGCCTCCGCCGCACACGCTGAATTTGATCCTTTTCTCAGAACGGGAGATCTTGTGCCGCACGCCTGCTGGATGCGGCCCCCTTATTCTGGAGATTGGACGGGGAAAATATTGGGAGAAACTATTAAAGGGTTGGCATTCTGCCCGGTTTCGATGTTGGGTTATCTATCTTCAGCTTCAGAAAAGATTGGCTTGGGCTAAAGTCTTTCTTGATCTTGTGTTGTTTGGGTAGGCCTCGGTCTGATCGATCTCGAATGTTCAGGAGTGCATAGCTATAAGCCCCACAAGGAGACGACGTCAAGGATGGTTATGGATTTGCAATGAAAATGATGGGGATAGTCGGAAGGATTTAGTGTAGGGCGGAGTTATGATGTTGGTAAAGTTCAAGAGAGCGATATGAAAAGCGAGCCCCAGATGTGCCTCTCTTGGCAGGTAGGGCTGTTGGCCGTTGTTGTTGTTGTTGATTGGCATTATAAAGGGAAAAAGAAAATCGCGAGGCTCTTGTTTATTATGTCTCTCTTTTTCTTCCTCCGCCCACGAGCGGCACTGCACAGAAAGCAAAAGAAAAGGGGGAACAAAGTTGTTGTTGATGGCCGAACGCGACAGGTGCCACGCCACACCATCGCCGACCCGAGAGGGCCTTCCTTGCTGCATTCAGTCATCATCGTCGTGGATGTATAAAACATTATTTTATACATGCAGTGCAAGTGTTTGCAAGTTGCACATGCAACTAGTGAGGCTCATTAAAACCTCCTGCCGTCTCCATGACTTGAGTTTCCTGATCTGATTTGTGGAGCTTTGCTTGCCCATCAACGGTGGGTGTGGAGAACGGTTTGACTTTCAACACTGTGTTGGCAAAGTGGAAACGAAACGCGAGGCGCGATTGCCGAAAGAGAGCGTGACTGCAGGTTTTTGAATGGAAAGAGGTTATAGTGTGTACATGCGATGCGACTCTGGAAGAGAGAGCTTGGAAGATTGCATATGCGAAAGGCAATAATATCGGCGGGATAATGTTGAATAATAACCTTAATAAAACAAGAGATAGCAACGGCCGGTGCCTTGTCCACGTTGGGCAGGTTGGTTCCGTGACTGGGCATTTCCCCAGGCAAACAGACCGCTGACACATTCACATTGCTCTTTGGAGGAAGAGAGGAAGAGGAAGAGAGACTATCTCTGCTTAACGGTTTGACCAGAACGAGAAATTGGAACGGGGCGGTGGTCCATCCAGCAATCCACTGGGGCGATGAGGAATAAATTCCGGCTCCATTCCAGTTGATACTCACGGGCAGTGACTGAGATGGAATAGGATGAACACAGTAGCCAGCAACAGGCAGCGGCTTGAAACATATACACTGGGAAACTTCTTTCTGTGAGCACTTCGTAGTGTAGCTTCTGCAAGGAGACGTGGATGGATTTATGCACAAAAGCCGTGTAGAGTCGCCTCGGTGGGCTCGTCGCAAGGAGATGGGAAGCCCCTGGCACCCTTGCACGGCGACATTTGGCCTGCAGCATGGGCCCTGCTAGCGCGCCTTGGGTCAATGCTCGTTCCTCCCTCGCTGGCCAATGGGCGAAGATGGGGGGATCAACACATGGCCTGAGGGAACAGAGGAGGAGCTTTGGGTCCGAGGTTTAGGAGGTTGGAAATAGGTGGGGTGAAGACAGACACAGTATACATTGACAGTTTGCGTTGCTGAAACTGAGATCTGAGATTTCATGAATCGAACAGAAAGTCAAGATATACTAATGAGAAACGGTAGTAGTAGGTAATTAGATCGGATATTGATTTCTTAGTCTGGGTAGGTCAGACTGTACTGTATGAATAGCCGGTGGGTGGAGTGTCTTGGTTCTTGGCCGGCGCCCGATGCACGGAAAGAGGCCGACTCGTTCCCTCCTGGTTCTGGCGTGCACCGCCGTCCTAAGCCGTTGCCCTGTCTCAACTAGTCGCTGCACGTCTGGCCTCCTCCAGACAGCCCACGACAGGAGACACCAGAGGAGAACTTCCCTAGGTTCCTCACATTACACCCAAATCCCATTCCCAAGTCGCCTCTACCCCCAATCCCCCCCTCTATTCCCGTCCCATCACTCTTTCTTTCCCACCTCACCGAACCGACGACACGCCCCGGCCCCCCGATTACGAAATTTCCTTTTTTTTTCGACACCACGACCTTCGCCCTTCTGTGCCTCGCCGTGTTTCGAGAAAGCGCCCCTTCCACCCTTTCACCTTTCGATTCGCGTCCGCCTTCTACAAGCTCCCCATCTTGGCCTCTCTCTTTTTTTTTTTTCGTCGTTAACGTCCCAACTCGAAATCTCAGTCTCGCTCGCCCGTGTCGTCTCATAGCATCTTGTCTCTGGGCTGTCTGTTTGCTTGTCTACTACGCATCTCTTTCGTTCTCGGTTCGCTATTTGTCCTCACGCAGAAACGAACCACACACAGAAAAAAAAACATTGACCACGCCGTCTGCTCGGACCAGCTTGCTCCCAACTCCCATCCGATAATTCTGGCCCTCCCCGATGTCCCGTCTCCAGTAACGGCCGAATTTGCAGTTGTCAGTCGTGACGCGGCACTGCCTCTACCCCATACTCCTTTCCCTCAGTCTGCGACTCCCGACGGGTTGTGACCGGGCTTGAGACCGCCAGACCAGACAAGAAAGTTCACGGTGACAGTGGGCTTCTTCTTCAGAGACGGACAACGTCATCTACCTCCCTCTTTGGCCGCCGGGCGACCTTCAGTTCTATAGTGTCACCATCGTTGAAAAAGGTCTTCGTACCACCATACACGGGGCCTCGATTTATTTGAAAAGGCTCCGTTCTTGTCAACGCAATTGGCAGGTGAGTTCGATGCTGGGACTTGTCGTCCCCCCCATTGATCAGCACAATTGCAAAAAAAACGTGGGGGTCACCTTGCCTTTTTCAGCAAACACACATTTCTGTCCTCAGTTGAGCTACACACTTTGCCATTGTCTTTTTCCCGAGCCTCTTGATGAATGGTCTCGCTGACAGACTCCATGCAGAAACCCTGCCTTAATACTTTCGTTCAACCTCGCAATCTGCTTGTCAAAGTTTGAGCACCGTCGGGCAGCTCATCTCTCCGAGACTTTGAACAAGAACATCCATCTAGTTCTGCCTTGGATCTGAACAGATCTCCAGATATCATGGCCGCACTGGTACAAGGATATCCACAGCAATCTGGGACAGTCACAATGCTTCAGACCAGACCGGCCTCAGCCTCGGGCATGCTGCCAGTTCAGTCGAATGCGCAATATGCTCAGGGTGGAGCTCATAGAAATAGTATCCACGGCTTGCCCACAGGAGTGGCTTCTCCTGTGGTGTACCGTGGCGGCTCAGGGTATGTCCAACCTTATGCCTACACAGGCACACCCAGCCTTAATCCGACGACACAATGGCAACAGGTCAGGTCACACCGGACATCATCCTCGCCAGCAGTGCCGACTATCCAGACGCTGGACTATCTACAGCCTGGTGTGGCCCGCTCCCGGTACGCGGCCAGCAACTCCATGACAAACTTGCCTAGTACGGCATCCATCAGTTTGACGGGTGCCGGGTCTCGGGATGATTCAGCCCTGCCGTCATCAGGAACACGCAGAGCCGGTGCGCAGGCATCACAGATGAACGGAACATCGCTGTCGCCACCGATTGCACAGGCGGCGCCGCGGGTGTCACCGGAAAGATACAGGAGAACTGCGTTGCGGTCTTCTGACTCGGCGGGCTCGGGCCTAGGGAAACAGCCCCAGGAAACGGCAACCGCTGGGCGCCCAGGCCACACTCGGAGTGCATCGGATCAAAAGCCTGTGATGCTGCGGACTCCCCAGTTGCACCAGATGAACAGGCCAAACAGCTATATCGGCTCGGTATCTGGGTCGGCGATTGACGACATGGGGTTTGTCCGCGGTCAGGGACAAGAGGAACCCAGAAGAACTCGCAGACGCAGCTTGCCCGCATTGGATTCTGCCGGTTTTTCCACGCCCTTGACCCCGCCCGAGCTTAAGCAGCCGGAACTACCAAGCCGTCCAGATCGACCAGCATCGGCCAAGGTGGCCGAAAAGAAGAACAACAACCCCAACAAAGCTGCCAAAGCTGGAAGCAACAAGGCCGGCGACAGAAACAACAGCAGCGCTACTACTGATGCCCGTCTTGGCAGCTCGGACAGCCGGTCCTCTGGCCGCAGCGCTGGAAGCAACAATTCCAGAGCTTCCTCTTCTGTAAGTGATTTCTGACCTGCATATCTCGTGGCTGCATTGTCCAATCACATGTTATGGCGGCAATGTTGGGGGTTGGATCAACCAGCGCTAATCATCTCCTACCACTTTAGTCGGCCAACCGCAGCGCGAAGGCTTCCAACCCCACCGGAAACCCCGCCCCGTCTTCCTCCTCGCCTTCTGAGCAGACGGGCAACAGCCAAGATTATCCCCGGCTGGTCAACATTCCCCCACGAAGTTCATCGTCCGATGCTGCAACTCCGAAGCGTGCCGTCAATTCGTCTCCCCTTTCCAAGGCAATGGGCACGGAGACTGAGAATGGCGTTTCGGCCGATGCCGCCGACAGCGCGATTCAGGAGGCCGTGAAGCCGACCACGCCTCGCGTCGAGAGTCCGGCCGCCAGGCAGCTGGCTGCCATCAACGAGAATGGAGGGAAGCCAAAAAACAAGACATCGAGACTTAGGAGAGCCTTCTCCTTTGGTAGCGCGGCAGAGTTCCGGAAAGCGGTACATGCTAACAGCGAAGCCGCCGAGAATGGGCCAGGCAAGCTCCAGAAGGAGCAGAGCCAGGAGGATGCGTACGAGACGGAACAAGCCCGCATCGCCCAGCGACAAGAAGAGGCTGGCATCGGCAGCAACATCTACGGCGGCAGACTCTTCTCGGGATCGACCGATAACCTATCAATCTCATCAACGGCATCCTCGGCTTCGATTATGATTCGGAAGATGGGTCGTGGAATGAAGAAGGGCGGTCGTTCCCTTGTCGGCCTTTTCCGGCCCAAGTCCATCATTGGTGTGCCGGCCGCCGATGCCAGGATGCCCGAGGCCATGGAAGCTACCGTCTCCATGGTCAATGTCGAGGCCGAGCGCGAGCGTGTCAATGTGAACGCCGACCCTCGAACGCAAGCTGGTGGCGGTACCGGCTTCCCCCGTCTCGAGCGAAATTCCATCGACGCCGCCAATGTACCCACACTCGAAGCGGACCCACGATCTAGCACAGGCACAGACAGCTCGGCAGCACGAAAGAGCATTGTTGGCGGTGAGAAGGAACGTGCCGAGGTCTTGGCTGCTGTCCGAAAGGGCATCTTGAAGAGTACGTTTGTTCTTTTCCGGTGAAGAGGCATGTTGCTAACATTGTTGCTTTAGAAGACCGCAATGGCTCCGCCAGCCCATCTCCACGCGGTACAGAACCGCCTCATGCTCCTAACGTCACCGATTCCCCTACCTCCAGCGCTCCCAGCACCCCCAATGATGAGCAGCAAGGACACAGACGGACTGCGCCTGTCGCCATTGGCAGTGAGGATTACTTTGTTTCGGCCCTCCGTCTCCGCCAGGACACCAAGAGCGCGCCCGGAACCCCTCAGGGCAGCCTGAAGCGCAACGCCACCTTCAGCCCCCGCATCATCACCTTTGAGACATGGCCGAGCGGGGAGTACGATCGCCGTGGTGACATCGCGACGTGCAACCGCCTGACGCCAATGCTTGCTCAGCAGATCAAGGAAGAGCTGAACACATTCAAGATGGTGGGTCTCCTACTGATTATTCGAGCGATGCATGAGATGCTAACAACCAACCAGGAGATGGAGGTTCACGAAAACTCCAAGATTTACACGCATTTCTTCTAATGATTCAAGACGAATGGCCCGCACCCCTTTCAAGCACAGCAGCACCTCTCTCGGCTCGATTCTCTTTTTTCTGCACCAAGGGCGGCGAAGATGACCTCCCGTCGTGTATTTGACCAAAGGATTTGCACAATTCCCAGGCGTTTTTCTTTTTCTCTCTCATGGGACAAAGCATAGTAAGGTGTCATGGCGTTGATTTAAGTCTTTTTTTCTTGTTCTCACATTGATCTCGACAAACTTTTTTGTTTCTCTTTATTTCCGTCTAGAATCTGGCACACAGCAGCACAGCGAAATTTAATTACAAGCGGGGTATGGGGGTGAATACGGCCACGGGTTCACCTTGATCCTTTTTCTTATTTTCCTAAACAAAATTATGTTTCTGGTTCATTCAACGAAGTGGGGAGAAGTGTGCGTGTGTGCGTACGTGGTTGAGAGTTGAGTACTGTCTGTCAGCGAAAGCGAAGCGAATTGTATCTTTAACAAGCAGAGATGTGGCTAGAGGTGTAAGGGTTGATGGGTGATGAGTGATGTTGAAAGACAGAAGACAGCGTGAAGTTTTTTAATAGATGTGTCTGGTGTTTTGACCGGGGGGGAAGGGGTGGGGGGGATGGTGTTGTGAGGAGGGGGATGGTGTTGTGAGGGGGGGGAGTGGCGTGATGTCGCGGTGGTGGTGGTGGTGAACTATGGAGGGAGTTGAACAACAACAGGGACGAAAGAGACGACGATGAAGAGGAACAACTACAACAACAACATCAACAACACAAACAAAACACAAAGCAAGTAAGGGGAGAAAAAGGCAACAAGACGTAATGGTGATGGTGGTGTGGTGGTGATGGTGGGTGGAGGAGGTGATTTTTTTGTCAATTCGGCATTCAGAGACAAGTTCAAAAATACATATATCATCTTTTTCTTTTCTTTTGCGCTTTTTGGGGGATGTTTGATAGATTGAGGTGTATCTTGTGTGAAGTTGCGGAATGGGGGAGGATGATGATGGTGAGGGAGTGGGGGTAATTCTACTGGGTGTGGTGGTGGTGTAAAGTAGATAGATATTATTGTCGAGTTGGAATGGGATATATGGGTTTACAAGCTTGACGAGTAGTGGTTGTGATGTGTTATCATCAGCTTCTATTTGGTATATGCGAGGCCGTTATAGATGTGCTGTATGCACGGCGCAACCGAGCCGGGCCAAGGTGGGAACTAGTTTCCTGAAGTTTACGAATGGAAACTGGCCGTTGGATGATGACCTGCCTTGCTTTTTGGTTGGCGGTGCTTTTGGCTAACGGTCGCGAACCTTGCAGTAGCTTGGGGCTGAAGAGTGGGATGAGGGGATGGGGATGGGGAAGATCGAGATGGGATTAGTTTCTATTGGGTTCTACGGGGACAGAAGAAACAGCAGAAGAAGAAGAATTCTGTCGATGGTGTGCAGGTGATCACGACCCGAGTTGGGATATCCGGTATCTTTCACATGTATGACTGTCCCTCTGCAGCAGCAAACGACCGAGCCCCGTCCGTGTTAGAGTGTGTAGGCAAACCACTTTACGGGAGTGGGCTGGTCAGTGGTGTCATAGATCGCACAGTATATATATATATGTACTGCATGAATAGTAATTCTCGTGTGCAGGACCACACTACCACTTCGGTGTCCTCCCACTCCCCGCGTGTCCGTTGCGTCCGGTTCTCCGTATGGGGGATTGGTTCGTTTGTGAAATACGAACTTTTTTTTTTAATGATCTGCCTGCGCACAAGTGTGAAGAAAGGGTTTGTGGGGGTGGGTGCCGTGCGTTCAGGGGTCTTGAAGGAGGAGTTGGCAGCAACCGGT